TTCTCCAAAGCATAAACTTTAATAGCGTGTAACTCTAGCATCCCTACAATTGAAACAATCGATCTTAGAATCTTATAAAATGACTACTCACAGGAAGTGTCTTTTATATTTTTCTACAATTTTCTTTTCGGTTACAATTTAATTACAAGTTGCTCAAGACAACAAACTGAGAACTTGTAGAGTGCACTCATATTCCAGAGCATACTCTGCCATAGTGGTCTTGCTCATGCTATTGTGTTAGTCTGATGCAGTCGCTGCTCTGTGTTTCGTCTTCGGCACGAGCAACATTCGGGTGAGATGCAAGAGTGTGTTTATGTGTGGGCAGAGTCTTATGTATTTTTCTCTTATAATTTTGTCAGTTTTCGATCATACTATCTACGATTATATAGCAAGTATCCAGTCTCACTTACGACCAATTTAGCAAATATGCGTATGATTGTACTGGACCTGAAGAAAGAGTATTTGTAACCAAAAGTTTAGTTATTAGTGTAAATATCTTGTAAAGAGAAACAAAAATAATTCTTACTGTCTGTTTCTCAAATTATCCCAAGCTAAGAAGAGAATCGGCATACATACACCTTTAGTTTAATGTAGATTTACAATTGTAACAACACACATAACACAACTGTGAGTGCAAAGCACACGTCTAGGGTTACACACACATATAACTTAAGGGGAGTATCACTTTATGTATATGTACTAGAATCACGCTCATTTTACAGTCACAATTGAAACATTGTGGGATAGAGCTGTATAAAACATGATAGTACTATAAGGAAGCTGAGTTCATTATGCATCGGATTGGCAATGAGTGTAGTAGTTTGAGCAATACACTACTATAAGGTGCTTTGAAGAGAAGTACCTAAAACAAACGAGTGTTTAAGTCGCAACAAACACCAACAATGCCGCACGCATCCGTGCGCCAACGACCCTCTGAATATTACAGACGCAAGACACATCGCCACTCGAACCTTTCACCGCAGGACCGACTGGCCAGAGGTATGCGGGACATTTAGGCTGACGCTCTCCTTCGACGTACTTCGTTATCTATTTAATGATAATATTAATCTATAAAGGCTTTTTTATTTGGTATTTTATGAGATATCGCTATTTGTCTCGTGTATATGACACTAGTTTTTGTGAGATATAGTATTCTTTCCATGTCGCACTAGATCCACTGTAGAGTTGAGGCGACAGGATCATGATCGATTCGTGAGAATATCGAATTGGTCCAGAGAATTAAATTAAATCAGAATATATTATAAACATCAAGCAATTCAGTCGACAAGAGCAGTAGTCTTAAAAGAAAAATATAAGTGGGAATTTAGGCGTTGGTTTATAAATTTCCATAACACATGTAAGATGGTTCGCCTAAGTAATTTCCACTAAGGATTTTTCACTGTCTATAGGCTATTGTTCTGCGTGTTATTAAGAATTTCTAGTTAATATCTGCAAACACTTTTTATATGATGTGACAAATAGGTTCCCTGTATATGATACTATCTTCACGACGACATATAAAGCATACATCTACACTATTCTTATCTAAAAAAATCACGGTCCGATATTGTGTCCTAAGTTAAATACCCATAAAATAGCAGATTTCGTTTTATTACTATACGCCACAAATATCGGGACACTAAATGAGGGAGATTACGCCGGGTTCTGAGAGAGCAGTCATGCCGACTTCCACACTCGTCTCTCGCGACCTTGGAAGGTGCGGAAAGTCCCCTCGCAACTACTAAAGAATTCCTAAGCCTTACATTTTTTTTCAACTGACGCAACAATACCCGTTTTCTCTTTACGGCCAGATATAGAAAATGGGTAAAGTGTTGTACTCGTACACGCCCGTGTGTGTGTGTGTGTGTGTGTGTGTGTTGTGTGTGTGTGTGTGTGCGTATGCGTGTGTGTATGAGTGAGCATGTACCTGCATATACGCATACACATCTCTCTAACATTAATATAAATAATATAGTGTATATTATACAAATATACATACATAAATCCACTCACACGCGCGTGCGCACACACACACACATATAAAGATATAGATAGATAAATAGATACATAGATATATATATCACAAAAAAAGTGTAAATGCATGTATTTACACATACATAAAGTGTGTTTTTTTTTGCCCATGACACCTGAAATCTACTTACCTTGATGAGAGGGGCAGTAGAGTGTGGTATTGTCGTCATGGAAACCATTAGTGTCTGGCACGCCGCTTTCACTGTCTGCCAGACTCACCACACTGTGACTCTCACTGCCAGAATCCTGTCGATTGCAAAATCAAGATGAATAATGCAAACATGAAGACTATTTTCAGTCACGAAAACCCCCACATTAACCCTGAGGACACGTGACTGGACGGGGATCCTCTGGGAAGGAGGTCCGAGGCGACCCCGTCACGGAGACTGAGGAACAACTAATAATGTGAAAGTGCCAGATGAAACAGGGCGATACAAGCGAGGGTGATGACAAAGATCTGGAAAACTGCGCTCGTTTGCTTCCCCGAGATGAGCAGTAAGCCTAACGAGAGACAGAGAAACTACTCGTTACCTGTAAGTAGCATGACTGCCGAAATTCTATTTCTGAATTGCTAGTCCAATAAGGGCCTTGTTGGTCACTGCAATTCGGTTAATGGGTTCACAAAATTGTCAAGTGAAATTTCAGTAGCATAAACTGATGTGAAATAAATGGATTCATAGGGAAATAAGTGTGGGAAATTGGGCGATTCTTCCCTGCGGTATCGGAAACAGTAGTCACGGGTCACCCATCATTGTTCGGGGACAAAGAGCAGGGAAACAAAGGCGGCGGTGAGCAAAAAGGAAGACCGACGAAAGAGAAGATAAATTGGAGAGGTGACAACATAGGCGATGGGCGGGTTTCCGGTACCGGGGAGGGAGCGGAGGGTAGTGCACCACGCGATGATGGTCACTTGCTATCACCGAGGGGGCTCTCAATAGTGTATTTGGACTGTTCAACATTGTGGTCTATTCTTTTCTCCTTGTGTGGGCGAGAGATGACATCTCTGCGTCAGCGCCTTGCTGAGTATGTGTCAACTCACTGCCTCAGAGGGCTGCGCGCTATGCGCTGATGACTGTGGATCACGGTGTATCAGCACAGACGAACGTCCAATAGACCCCAGGCCTCACCATGTCCTCTACGCAATCCTGCAATACTGGCCTGATATCTCTATCAAGATAATACTGTAGACAGCAGACTACGGTGCATGGGTAAAGGTATTCTGTATTTTTTCCGCTTCCATAATATTGCTACAGGGGTTGTCACAGAACGAGCTGTCATGTACGCTCATTTGCCCAAGCGAGCACCTATTATACAACATGCCTCCGAGCGACTGAAGACGATCGGTCCCTCCTCCACAAGAAGTGCCTGGATCAGCAGGGGGCCAAGACCGGATGATGTAGCTGCAGTGGCTGGGAGGGTTTGAGGCGCCAGGGAAAGAGTACTCGAGAACCACTCCCTATTGCTTCCACCTCATCCCAGCGTGGCATAGTCACCACAGATCACGCTCACGTATCCTACTCGATCGGGGTGGCGAGCACCATATTGGTAGTCCAGGAGTATCGCAACTTTATGCCCCCTTTGCGCTCCACGATAGCCACCACCATAGAAGAAGTGCAAGGTCGAAATTGCTCTCTGCGAATTACTTAATCGCGAGATTATATAGGGACACACACGCGTTTCAGTATATTTTTATTACTACTGGAAGTCGTTGGCGTGGTATGAACTCTTTGGTTTCACCTGCACCATCATCATGAGTTGGGAAAATCACAAAAGCCTTTGCTTGGGACCTTTCCAAGTATATGAATTTGCGCACAATAATACCACCGGATAGCAAGGACTACCTCAAAAATAAACACCATGGAGGAGGGGCGAGTAGTACTCTATCAAGGTGAGACCACAAAACAGTGTCCATTCCTCTCCTATAGAAACAGATCAGAACAGTATGTTGAGCGCATCTAAACAGCGATCTTTCTCCCTCACTCATAGGAAGACCGGGGATCCGTGCAAGACATCCCAGAATATCTACCCTCTCACTGTCGGAGACTCGTATAGCCGCCAGAAGAGAGACCCCGCTCACACGCTCCCTAATTACAAATCACGCCCACAATCACGGTATTCGGGGATCGCCACAGTTAAAAATCGGGGGGACAGTTTCTGGCACCTGGTGAGTGCTGGACCGCGGAAAATCCCCGCTCAAGGTCTAGCGGGACCGTTGTATTTCGATCTCGATCAATGCGCCGCCGGCCGCTGCCTCGCTATCCGCACTGCTCCAAAATGCATACCATTTTAGGCAAAGCCCCCAAACGGCGGCGACCGCAACGACAAGCCGTACGCACTCCAAACAGCAGGTACCTCCGGCCGAACGACGGGAGAGGGCCGGAGGAGTCCAACATGTGGCAGACAAAGAAATGAACCAGTCGGGAAGGGGGGGTGTGTGGTCAGGAAGAGAGTGGGAGATGGGATTATATGTACATTTACACTGGTGATTAGTATCTATCCAGCAGTCTATACAGGCAAATTAAGGTCTAATCGAAAGGAGGTATTATAGTAAATTGGAGTGCTCTGGCGTGTGAATATAACTATGTGCACCTAAGATTGGTAAGTCTTGGTTAAACAAAGCAACACAGTTAAGCAATGGGAGGTTTCAGTTCAAACATTCAAAATAACACAAACACTACAAATTAAGAATAAATTGGTACAAGGCCGTTAATTAACACTGTCAGTAACTTCAGTAAGTTAGCAGATGTACATGTATCTCTTTTGCTAGCACACGAAAAGCAATAAAAGAGTAGGCCAAACAGTCTTCTGACACTGATGGCTAAGTGCTCAATGATAGTCGGTGTGCTCTATAGGAGCTACAGAGATTTGAAGCTTAATAAGCAGCTAAAATCTGCTTCATACCTCTGTGAAAGAAGTGCGCATAGGCACGAGTATATTCTTCATTTACCCACACGAGAGGCAAGAAAAAGGAACACTACATCTTGCAGCCTTTTATAGTGAATATTCTATATAAGCCGAAGTGTGGTCACACTAAGATTGCACGATTAAGGATGTTGGAAAGAGTATCGCACTATTTTTGTAGTGCTTAAAGATGGACAGTAATTAGAAATAAGAGTCATATGGTTGAAGTCTAATATGAAAGTCTTGTTCTAAAGCGCTACGTTTCATCTTCATTGCAGACCAGATTTCATAGGTTAAGCACAAAGACAAACAAAGACGAAACATCCTTTGGACTACACGAGTAGTAAGAGAAGAGCATGAGAATATGAGAGGTCAGTAGCTTAAACAGAGTAGCGTACAGCGCGTGCTCTCGCGCGACACGCTTCACATAAATTCTTTGATTATTCTCCGCAGCAGATGTATGCCTCCAAATGTGTGGGTCATCATAGAAAAGATTAGTGGCAGACAATACACTACGGTCGAGCTGTAAGTCTTGGAACGATTACGTGGCACCCGGGCCGCATCCGAGGAAAGCGAGCGTTGGTCTGAGAGAGAGCTTGTTTTTTGGAGTGTCTTCGGAGACGTGACCCTCTTTGTGGGACTTCAAGGCGGGTCGTGAAAATCTTAATCTACTTGCGGGCTGAATGGGAATAGGCGGAGGAAAATCTTCTGAGTGAATTTTACGAATTTTTGCGTACCAAAACCGTCGCAGTACTTGGTTATACCGTTGTGTAGCTTATATATGCCCAAGGTGTCTACTGATACGGCACAGGGACCGCCCTGTATCATCGTATTTCGCTAGCGCATGAAAGCAAACTGAAAAGGAACATTAATTTCTATAAAGGGCGTGAGTTTTATTACGTAGATTTTAATACTGAAAATACGTTTGGTGTACTTTATCTATCGGATAAGCATTGTTAGACAGTGCAGCATGAAAGCGTATACGTATATTACCACTACTGTTCAGCTTAAAGGACAAAACCCGTCAAGTTCGTTATGGCAGGGATTCAGACACTCAGTGGCACAGTTATACATTCCTGTTACCTGGATTATGTTTTCAATCTCTCAATGCTCCTCTACTTTCTGAGGTTGCGAGCCTCACACGACACTTCCTACACACATCGAATATATGCGAGGTGTAATACATTGTATTAACTATAGATGCTTTCTCCAAGAAGTTTCTTATAATCACTATGTAGCTCTGATTAAGCTCTATTTAGGTTATGGAACACGAGATGGAAGGTATAATTTTATATGGGGATATAGTGTGTATCGATAAATTATTGTTATCTATATGCCCGTGCCACCCGATGCCGAGCTACAAAGTCGAAGATATTTATACGACTGGTCCACTAATTAAGTTTTTTATTTTTCGCCATATCGCTTTTTGACCTCTCTTATTAAAACCTCTCCCTCCGTCGTGTGTAATCCTTCTGCCACACAGGACAGAGTAATTGCCTACAGATCTCAGATTTTTCCAGACAAAGTAACATCCAATAGTCATGAACGTCATAATTAATGAGCAAGAAAAAACTATTACTCCGTTATAATCTGTTTAATGGTTTACTTTATCTGTGCAAGATGAATGTAACATGGACAAAACAGAAATTAATAGACATATAACTTAGACAATTACAGAGCGATGGGTAATGGTAGAATTTCGCACTTTGCCATAATCATTTACTGTTCTGTCTATGAGCAACACACATGGATGAAGTCCTATCAGCTTGTGAGTATCATATAAGGTAATATATTCGAGTTCATGTACATCCAAATCATACTCCTCTCCTCATTAGTAGTATACAAAATATTTATAACAGGGTGAGCTGGAGGTCTTATTATTCTGATATTTCATGCACCTATTTATCTATACATCTCCTCACGCTCATTTTATCTGTATACACCATGCAGACGAGCGCTACAATGCACACATGAAATGACACGTATGTTTGTTTATTTATGTGTAAGCTCACATATATAATTTATTATTCAATTTTACCAAGTATATATGGTATACACAGTTGGCTTATGTAGGATATAAAGGGCTAATGAGTAATAACCTACATATGGTTGTTTCCAACCCTATCTATCTACTATTAAACTCCTCATAATATAATTTGCATATATACAAAATATATAAATACCTATATGCCTTAAGTATTCACCATATATGCATAGGTAGTCCTACTCAAATACCCTTTAAGTTCTTGGATTATTACATAATGCAATATACATATTTGGGATATTAAGTAAATTTTAATATCACATTAGTCTTTCTACACATATTATTATATCACGAGGCCTCTATTCTCACAAAGGAAGAAGCGCTGGTCGTAAAGTCTAAGTCTCACTCCATCTAAATTCATAGCAACACAAAGAAGAACGTATTCTCCATGTTGTAAAATAAAAAGCGAGATGTCACAATATTTTCCTACTCTTTCTCTTTCGCAAGAAATATTTTTTGGGTGTTCAAAATGGGAGTATGTGTCTGCGTTACATCACGTTCTCTAGCCGTTTGTGCTTTGGATCGTAAAGTGTCGCGTTTTCTGCTTGTGCTGGTTGGGATTTGACATTCTGGCATTCGGAGTGAGGAGAGTCTTTGTGGGAGTTTTTACAGTAAATACGCGAGTTAAGGGATTGACACATATACTTACCACAGAAGCAATAAAACAGATGAGAGATATCGGCGAAATATGTAAAATGCTTGGAAGAATATGGGTCGAATCTTGTAAATCCTCGTGTTACTATCTTTTGATTTAGGCAAAGGGTGTAAACTTTCCTTGGTTCTCAATCTGAGTAGGGCGAATGAGGTGGTGCCAGAACGAAGGCATGCACGAGATTGCAGATCAAAATTAATCATCAATAATGTGCCTTGAGTCATTACTAGCATGCGCTGGTTCGAAAGTATAATTTGGCTGACAAATATACTATCACCAGAAACTCCCATTGGGATTTATGTAGAAAAAAAAAACGAAAATTTCAAAAACTCGTGAGACCAGTGGCGTGATCCTCAGCTGAGACCGGAGACGCGAAGACAAGGGAAAAAGACCCCAACACCATTCGTATTGGGGTTACCATTTCCAGGTCCCAGACTGATCGATCTGGCCAAAAGGTGGGCGTGAGACATTCGACACGCGACCGTCTGCCATGGGCGCCGCACGAACACGTCTGGCCACGGGAATCCTCGCCGAATACTTACTCTTTACCGAGAACTAAGGTAGTGGGAAGTACGCAGGGATGGGGGGGGGAGGGTTAGTATTTTAGTTTTTAGTAAAGTTGGGAAGGATACAATAGGTAACAACATGTATGGCGAATCATGCAAATATTTCCTTAAAGACTAAAATGAAAAAAAATATTATATATATAATATACATACAGATATACATACAACGAGAAGAGTGAAAAGATATTATACAAAACGTAAGCACAGTTGATTAAAAGCCCTAATGATATGAAACAAGTGAGTGATTTCCTCTCCTTCGTCTCACCTGGACATGGGCCTGGGCACAGCCGGCACAGAACGCCACTTGGCACTGATGGCACCGCGCCGTGGGGTTGGCCTGGTGGCAGATCGAGCAGGGCCCGGTGGCGGCGCCGTCCATGGCCTCCATCACGCCCCTCACCCACGTGTTGCTCTGCAGCCCCGGCACCTGCAGGTCACGCCCGGGGTTAGTACCGCCACCTCCCTATGCTAAATCCTCCACCCTATGGCGTGAGCTCTGGCACGTGCTCCCGCTCAGCGAGAAGTACAGGATCTCCCGCTAGTCATTTGATTAATTAAATAAATTCACGCTGGCATTTGAGTAACGCCGGCAACCGAAGCGTGAGTGGGTCGCAACCTCGCACCATTAGTACGACAGGAATGCACAAGCACGAGCGATGCCGCAGGAGGAACTTACCCCGTCCTTCGGCAGGATGGACTGCTGGCGGCACACGGGGCACGTGAGCGTCAGGGACTCCGGCGGCGTGTAGCTGATCAGGCACCGCTCGCAGAACGTGTGCAGGCACGGTAACACCTGGGGGCAGAGGGAGGTATTAAAGAGGGTGTCTATGTGTTTGCACATGTATATATAATATGTATGTATGTGTGTGTATATATATATGTATAATATATATTATAAATTATATATATAAACATATGCAAATATATACATGTAATATAAATAAATAAATAAATAAGTATGTATATATATATATATATATATATTATTATATATATATAACATATATATAATATATATATATATATATATATATATATGTACATATATATATAATAAATATAATAATATAATAATAATATTATTAGTATATATATATATATATATATATATTATATAATATATAATATATATACATATATATATATAATGTATACATACATACATACATATATACAGTATATACATATAATATTATGGTTACTATACATATATATATTATATATATATATATATAATATACATACATATTACATATATACATTATATATATATACATATATATATATATATATACATATATATCATATATATATATATATATATATATATATAATATATATTACATTATATATACATAATATATACATATTATATATATATATATATAATATAATACATATATACATACATACATACATATATATACATACATACATACATATATATTATTATTATATATATTATATATATATACATTATATATATATACATATTATATTAATAATATATACATACATATATACATATATTATATATACATACATACATATATACATATACATATATATATATAGTATATATATATATATATATATATATATAATATATTATATTATATATATATATTACATACATTATAGTATACATATATATACATATACATACATATTTATATATATACATATATATATAATTACATTATATATATATATATATATACATATATATACATATATACATATATTATAAATATACTATATAATATAATTATATATATATATATATTATATATACATACATATACACATATATATATAATATATATAATATATATATATATATATATATATACATATTAATATATACACAAACACACATGTATATACACAACTATACATCAACCATTCATATACATACATACAACATACATCATATCTATATAACACATATGCATATACACATACATACACATACATATATATACACAAATAATACATGTACATAAGCTATTGAGCCGCATGTAGGACGTGCTACCTAAAAGGCAATCTCAGAGAAGCCCCATGAGTTCACATGCAACACACCGCCTTCATGATCAACGATTGAAACACACGTCATGAAGGCTGTGAATATCCTCAACATGATGACCGACCGGTTCAGGAGTGCTTATAATTGCCACTTTTTTTTATACCAGAACCAAACTGCTGTATTGAAACGCTGGGAATAAACAAATAACCCCGGTTCGAAATAGAAATGGCTTGTGATACACCATCCTGCTTTGGAAACTCACTCAGCGCATCTCTTGGCCTGCCTAATGGACCATAACACCTCACTAAATAGTTGTCAATTCACACGTAAACAACAGCACGTTTCAGCCAACTCGCAGAATGCATCCTAAGGGAGGGATGGAAGTCGCTTGGGGTAAGATCGTGCAGAATTCAAGGGAAGCTGAACAAATGCTAGTGCCTATTGCACCTGGCATCTTCGGTACAGTTCATGTTGGACAGCCACTTCCTATATTGTTTACTTTATATTGCAACTGATGCACTGCTCATCTACCACTTATAATATCTTCATGTTCATTGCTCTATCTTAAATTAATCATAAATACCAAGGGTGATATAACTCTGGAATATAATTAGGCAATATTTTCACATGTGTCCAATGTGTATATTTGTGATAATGCATTAGATTTGTTCCGATAATCGTGTAGATAATAATTCGCACAGTTATTACAAGAAAGGCCATTGCACAATATCTTCTATGATTCAAGATTAAGCTTAAGACATGCTCTACTATATTTCACAGCTCGTCATTCTGGAGACAGGAGGCAGTGATCACCTTTAGCAGTGACATGCGTGGCACTTCGGGGAGACACGGGGCCAGAACCCTCCTAATCTCTCGTCACTGGCCGAAGCTTACACCTCTCGTCTTTCGAAATACTCCTCGGGACACGCGTGGCCCAGTGTGCACGTCACATATCCTTTAAAGACCTTGCCTAATTCCTCTTCCTTTCTCGCGACAATCTCCGATACTTCCTCCCTCGTTCGCGAGCGGCCACGTGCGGGTCCCGCCTACAGCGCCGTCTATTCACTCAGGTAGTCAGCCGCCGGAACAGGGAGGGGCTCCAAGGGGGAAGGGGCAGGGAGAAAACAAAGCAAAGGGGTAGACAGGGATTGGACGTGGCACAGACAAACAGGGCAGCCAACCGCTGTTCTTCTGAGAAAATCGCTATGAAGACCCAGCTTGAGACAGGATAGAAGTTGAGAGGAAAAAATACGAAACGACAAGCCAGTCACAGAAAAAATGAAATGCTCGTAGCTGACAGCCGATTGTAAGACAGTAGACAGACAGATACAGACAGATAGTCTAGACCTACAAGCAACGAGACACGGGGGGATGAAGCACTATATGAGCGTGGACAGGACAGCACAAAACACGTCTGAAGACACAGACTGAGAGTAGACAAAGACGACAGACAGGACTATGAGACAAACTAGACGCGCGCGGGACCACGAACACGCTCGCACACACGCGCACACCGGACGAGCTCCTACTAGTGCGTGTCTCGCCGCTCTCCCCTCAGTGCCACTCGCTCCCCTACATCCCCTCACCTCTCTCCCCTCCCTCCTCCCCCTCCCTCTCCCTCCTGCCCTCATGCGGTCGCCCCCACAACTTCTCGTATGAAAACAAGCGTGTTTTTCTTGCGGAACCTTACCTCACTTTCTAGCCTATGTGCTACGTCCTTTTGTACACATGCACGCGTACATCACTGAAAGAAATAGACAAACAGGCAAACAAAACATACAGGAACCATAAAAAATTTACGGTGCACGCTTGAAAATCCATACATACCTCGCAAATGCTGGAATTCACTACAGCCCGATCACTAGATTTCTATATAACACCTCTCTCATGCTCTCTCCCATTCCCTCCCTCCCCCCCTCTCTCTCTGTATCTATCTATCTTTCTCTATGTATCTATCTCTCTTTCTCTATGTATCTATCTCTCGTTTCTCTCTCTCTCTCTATCATCTCTCTCTCTCTCTCTCTCTCTCTCTCTCTCTCTCTCTCTCCCTCTTCTCTCTACCTCTCTCTCTCTCTCTTACTCTCTCTCTCTCTCTCTACCTCTCTCTCTCTCTCTACCTCTACCTCTCTCTACCTCTACCTCTCTCTCCTCTCTCTCTCTATAGGTTACGAATCTATTTATCTTTCTGTACACTCAGACACAGGTATCCCGATACACATATATATACATACAATCAGAGAGACATACATATAGACACAGAAAAGACAGACAGACAAACATCCCTATGCACATTCTCACACAAATAAAAAAGACATTAGTGAGGGCAATGGGCTAGTTTTAACTAAGCCTAACATGGCTTATTCCTGACCTTTTCAGACTACAGCGGACGCCCACACGAGGAAACCTCATGTCCTAATTCATAACTTACAACATAAACACTCATTCAACTCCCACGGCAGACATCAAGGCACGCTACAGCTGTTTAGAACAATCAACCTCATTATCAGCATGTTCGTCTCACATTCCCTTATCCAACGCATGACAAAAGAGGGTATTCCAGCTGCATGACGCAATGTCTGCATGGTGAGGGCGAGGCTGCTCTCGCGATCTTAGCAACAAGGGTGACGTCAGGCTGACTAACGAGCGTGGCAGCGTCCCCGGGGACAGGGCACTGCCCACCACAGCGGCCCCGCAGCATCGCCCCGTGAGGCTGACTTTAGCTCAAGGATTATCACCTGCGATGCCCATCCCTGTCGGTCTTTCGTGAACTCTGACCTTCGCTCATGGGGCATGGTCGAGGGAAGGCTGTTGAATGAGGGATATTCCAACGTGAAAACATGAAAAAAAAACAATAAATGAAAAAGAAAGCAAAGAAATAAAAGAGGAAGAACGAGGAACAACCATTTTTTTTTAAGTCGCTCGTTCCCAACAAACTGCAGGTCCTTCGCAAAGCCACGGCCCTGCTTTGTATGGCGCACGTTTTCCGAGACGGGGAGTGCATGCGGTAGTCAGCCTTGCGATCAATATCTGGCGACAGAAGTACAAGGCAGCCATCGCGTGCTGGCCGCCGGGACACCCGTCACTGTCACACGTTTATGAATATTTGATCGGCGACGGTATCTTTATAAGCGCCCCGACACAGATCTACACTATGCATTATTATTCAACAGGTCATGTCGTTCCAGTAATGTTCTTGTTATCTCTAGCATTTTTCGCCATACTTTTCGACGCCAAATCAATCTAAAGGGGAACGGACGAAGCATGAATCAATATCCTAAATACAGACACCCACTCTAGCCACCTGGACTTAGACAGTGGCGCCTCATAGAAGATTAACCCAATACCTTCCGCGATTCTTA